ATGCATCTTGATTGCACGTTTGATCAATTTAAGACTGAAGACATTAGTGCAAGCCAGTTCAGATGATTAGGCAGTGAAAAGCAGGTGAACTAATGATTCTGTGAGACCCTGTGTAAATACCTTAGGCAAGCACCATAGGCTGCATGAGGCTGAGTAGAAATAGGCTTGGAACAGAAGTTGGGATGCCAAGAATTAAGCTCATCTCTGCCCTTACCTAGTGTGATGACAGGCAATTCGTTTACCTTTCTGGGTCTCCTTTCCCTATCCCATTTGTAATGAGATCCCACCATCTATCTGTCAGCTTGCTGTGCTGTGGTGGTTTGTGTGTTGTTAGGATGCTGGAAGCAAAGCCAGTGGTATTTTAAGTATCAGCAGGGTCACTCACAGTGGACATTTTTAGCAGAGCATCCAGACTAGACAGACTAGGAGGAAAGGTCTGGAAATCTACTTCCAAAATTAGCCAGCGAACACCTTGTGGATCTTTCTTTGCTGGAAGATGAGCCCTCTGTGTCGGAAGGTGCTCGGTGTCGGAAGGTGCTCGGTGTCGGAAGGTGCTCGGGTGGCCATCCACATGACAGCGATTGCTTTGCCTTATGTATTGTTGTTGCCTTTTAAGAGACCAAAGAGCATCACACCTGTTTCTTTTCTTTGCGTGTTTTAAAACCTTTTTTTGTGAATTGGGTGAAGGTTTGCAGAGCAGATACGTCTCCCAGTCAACAATGTGCACACCTTTTCTTTCATGCCATCGATGGCAACTCCACAATGCTACATCACTCATCCCACTCCTCCAGGTTTCCTGTGTCCAGCTCACCTTCCGAACCCCCTTGAATGGTGTCCGTGGCTAAATGCTTCTGCTCTCAAATGGGTGGTTATGTTTTTCACCTTCTTACAGCCCCCTCCCCAGTTCACATGGACGCTATTCGATATTAAGTGTAGTAATCCCAGACTCCTGTTTTACATAACCTGCCAAAGTAGACTAGCGTCTTGTGTGCAAAGCACTGACATTGTATTGTGATCCTAGAGCTTGAAATGAAAATAATCAACCCTGGACTTAGGGGGAAAATACTGTCGTGTTTTCCACTTTTAATGCTTTTTATTAGTAGTTTTCTAGCAAATATGAAAGAGTAGGTAGAGTAGTATAATGAATTAGCAAAGCCCATCATCCAGCGGCAACATATAGGACCAGCCTGGTTTCATCTGTACCTCCCACCCGCCCCATCCTGGAATTATGCTATGACAAATTCCAAACACAACATTCCACCTGTATATGGTGCGTCGTGTATCCCCGAAAGATACACATGGGCTTCAAGAAGCTTGTGGAAAAGCGCATTGTTTTTGAGTTCCATTTTGCCTTTAGGAAACTCACCCATTGATTGACTTAGTCACTTTACACATACTTTAAAAATGAATACTCCCTTAGTACCATACATAAATATTTCTAATTCCCCCATCATCTCTGAATGTATTTTCTTTGATAAAGTGTATTTGACAATTTGCATATTGGCATTGGGAGTCAAATATTATCTATGCATTGAGGATGGTTGATACATTTCTGAAGTTTTTGACCCAGCAGTTTCCGACATTTCTATTTTCCTTGCCAATTTTTTTTTTTTGGTTATGTTTTTGAAGAAACTGGATCATGCCTTATAAAGTTGCCCCAGATCTGGGGTTCTGCTGTTAACCTGTTATTTTTAAGAACAATACCACCACCCAACATTTTTTTTTTAATTTTTAAAAAACACTCATTACTATTGAGTCAATTCCGACTCATAGCCCCCTACAGGACTGAGTAGAACTGCCCCTGTGGGTTTAACTCTTTAAATGAGCAGAGAAACTCATCTTCCTCCTGAGCGGCTGGTGATTTTGAACTGCTGACTTCGTTTTTAGCAGTCCAACTTGTAGCCTAGGGGCTTCTAAGGAAACAACAGTAATACAACTATAATATATTCATTTTTATATCTATTTTATATAGAGTCACATCCATAAGAAGTATATCTAAATGTATACAGGTGTTTCAAATTGAAAGGACCCTGGTGGTGTGGTTAGGCGTGGGACTTTGATCCCCATGGTTGGCAGTTCGAAACTACCAGCAGCTCCAAGGAAGAAAGACTCCGTAAATGGTACTGGAAACCCACAGGGGTCGCTGTGAGTCAGCATTGACTCGATGGCAGTGAATTCGGTTTGATTTATGGAGTTAGAAGCATCAAAACGCAGGGCAATTCAAGAGTCAAGGGACATCTTCACATGTTTACTCCCGCTTTCTCATTGTTGGAAGATATCTATCTTCCAACATCGTGTATCCTGGCATCCTGTAGACAGCGGGGCCATTCACCCATGGCTGAACCGTTCCGGTCCGGAGCATTCCAGTGGGTTCCCACCCACAGTGCTAAACAGCAATTTTCCTACCCACGAAGCCCAACAGCTATTTTTGGCAGACAATTGGATGAGCAGTTTCTTTACTTGACTACAGAGAGAGCCTGGAGAGACTGAATATAGACAGAATCTTCTGGGCCCCAACACGCCTCCCCCTCACTCCTCCCCACCAGGTCTACGAGATGAACAGCCTCTTGAGGGCTGTTCCTTCCAGTGGAAATCTGACCACAGAATCTTCTGGGCAGGAAAAGGCTTCCTGAGGTCACCTGGGCCCAGCTGGCAACCTGAAGAGAGGATTCCAGCATCAGCTCTCCCTGAACAAAGCTGTCTGTTTACAAGTCCCCTATCTCAGTGACACCCTCTGCATTCGAAACTGCCGACTTTGGTTTGCCTTCGGTGAAATCCATGAGTAAGCGGGGTCACTTTCTGCTGTGCGTGCGCGCCCGCATGTGTGTGAGTGTGTGTGTGTGTGTGTGTGTGTGTGCGCGCACGCGCGTGCGTGCGCGCGTGTAGCACACATACAGATAGATGCCTGTGTGGGCTTTTAATCAAAATGAATCTGGATTCTTCTCTGCTGCCCTGCCTTCTATAGCGCCTTTCCACTGGGCTCCTAGGCAGCTGTCCTATATTTCTATAATGGTTTTCATGAAAAATACAATGCCTCCTTGGACAGAGTGTAACGTATGATGGAGTTCTGACACACAGTGACAGTATGCAAGAAACGTGGACATGTGTATGTGTTTGGTGGGGTGTTTTTTCCCCCCTATGTTTGGGGCAGTGTTTGAAAATAGAGAAACCAAGACCACTGGCTACATCATCAGAAACTTGAGATTCTGGCCATCACTGTTCTAGCACTTTCCCCTTGTCAACCTCAGTTTCTTGTCTGTAGATGTGAAATCAAGGGTTTCAGATCGACCATTCCATGACATCTAGATGCCAAACCCTGGAGCCCAGTGCTGAGAAGATGCCTGAAAACAAGGGCTTCTCTTGTTAAGTAAGGAGGGAAAACAGCGGACGGTAAGTAAAGGTAGTAGCCAGCTGCCAACAGACCCCTGGTGGCATGATGGGTTATGCCCTGGGCTGCTAAGCCCATCAAGAGTGGCAATCTCGGAAAGCCACAAGGGCAGTTCTACTGTGAGTTGGCATGGACTTAATGGCAGTGCTTAAATTTTTAACCAGTTGCCATCAAGCTGATCTGGCCCACAGTCATCCCAAGTGTACCAGTGTAGAATTATATTCCATTGGGTTTCAAAGCTGTGACCTTTTGGAAGCAGATTATCAGACCTTTCTTCTGCGGCGCCTCTGGGTAGGCTCAAACCACTACGCTTTGGTTAGAAGTCAAGTGCAGAATGGATAGCCCTGCCCAGGGACTCTGTAATGCTAGTGGGTGGTAGTGGTTCAATGTCATCCACAAGAGAAAACAATCACGAACTGAAGTTTTTCTAAGATATCAGGTAATATATTCTCATGAATTAAATCTATAACATGGCTGAGCTGTGGACGAGTAAATACCTGTGTGAAGACCTTAACTGCAGGGTCTGCTCATCTGACAGCAGGTGACCTAACTAACATAAGGGTCCCTTAGGATCTGCCTTTGCAGGGCAATCATTCGCATTTTGTGCAGGGGGAGTTGAAGGGTGGACGCTTGGCAGCAGTGACAAGCTCATGCTGTCAGGCCAACCCAGGGCCCTTTGTGAGGCCGGAAATGCCTGCTCCCAAGGGCACTTGTGCTATTCTGGACACTGCGATCGGAAGGCGTCTCAGACTAGCTCTGGCCAAGTGGGCTTTACATTGCTTTTGCTGTTGGCTGTGGCTTTGAGCCTTCCTCTTTTTCCACGTGGGTCTTCCCTGCCAGGTAAAGAAAAGCAGGAACCACGCGGTGGAAACCATATTATTTTGACTTCTCCTGTCTGGAGAGTGGTCAGCACATCGCTGAGTCTTCTTTTGGCCCTCCCTGTCAGACATGAAGGCTGGCCGCAGGCAGCCGCCTGCTGGCATTTGAGTTTGGCCTGGAGAAGCCAGCTGAGGGCAAAGCCTGCTGCCATCTTTTGGATATGGGCACAATCTCTAAGAGGGTCACTCCCAGCCCAGGGAGACCTCTCGTGCAAACATGGTGGGGTGGCTTCTTTTGCCCTTTGGGGTTCTCCCTGAAGAGACAGGCAGGCCCCCGAGGGCCATATGCTCTGATAGGCTAGTTGACCCTTGACTCCATTGGTGCTGAAGACTGACAAATGATTAACCCCCTGAAACCACCCGTCAAACCGACCCTAGTTGTGCTCAGGAGTTCAGCCTTTGAACTGCAGACTTCCATTGTCTCCCCAACATCCTACCCAGTCGGGCCGTCCCTGGCAGGACTCTGCTGTGGACATACTGGGGAGGGGGGGAGTGGGTGCACAGGGGGCCGTGGGAAGTGAAGAGAGGAAGCCTGCAGCTGGCCCTGCTGGAGGAGGGGCAGTCTGAGCGGCGCTGGCGTCAGCGCCGAGGAGGTGAGAAAGAAACCTTGAGAGAGGCGGAGACAGGAAAGAAGCGGGAGTCCAGAGGAGGCTGAGTAGGAGCCGCTCCTGGCTGGCCGCCCAGCTGCTTCCCTCCCATGATAGCACAGCTCTGCTGGCTTGGCTCCTGGCCACCTGGCAGGGACCTTGGCACATGACTCCTGCCACGCTGTGGACACTGTGGGGACCCCAGGAGGGGGCTGGAGAGAGGTTGACCTTCCTCGTCCTAGTGCAGGGCTGTCTGTTCAGCTTGATGCTGCCAGGTGGGCCCCTGGGGCTCCCTGCCAAGCAGGTCTGGTGTTCTTCCGATTCCAAACGCCTCGACGGCTTCCCCTTTCCAGAGGCGAGGAACACAGTGGGAAAGAGGGCAGGATTGGAGCCAAGAGCCACAAGGCTAAGGCCGGTCCTCTACCCAGGAGAAGTGCTGAACTTTGCTGAGCCTCCCTTCTCTTTACAGGGAGACAGACTCACTCCACCACCTGACAGTTACTGGCCTCAGATGCGTGGACTCTGCATCCGTGTCAGTGGTCTTGGGGTAGATTCTGGCTCCTGGGTGCAGAGGAGAACTGTGCTTGCCAGGCCTGGCTTTCCACACGCCCCTAGATGGGCTTGAGCCACCATCCTGTAGGTAATGGTCACGCGCTTAATCCAGTGACTCCGTTAATTGCACAGCTCCATTCTAATGAGACTTTCACTGCAGGGGACAGTGATTGGCTTACCTTCCTCGCCATACCCTCCTCCAGGCCAGATGGTGGATGACACCATTGGATCCTCGAGCTCTTGGGAATCTATCTTGCCTGCTGGGCTGCCCCCACCATTACTTCTGTGCTATGGTTTTTCCCCTTAATGTCTTATTCCGTCTGGCTGGGTAGAAGCAGCAGCCTCCCTGTAAGTCAATGTTTGCTGAGCTGTGTTCCCACCCCATCTAGCTATTCAGCGCTATACAGGATTAGTTGTTACACACCAACATGAACCCTTTCCCCTCATCCCAGCCGTCCAAAGCCCCCTCGCTGTTCCCTGCAATAGGTTGTCCACTAATAGAACTTTTATCAGCAAGGAAGGAGCCCCGGTGGCATAGTGTGCTTCGAATTGAGCTGCTAACCACAAGGTCAGCAGTTTGAATCCACCAGCCACTGTAATGGGGAAAAAGGAAACTTTGCACTCCTGTAAAGATTTGCAGCCTCAGGCATCCCCCAAGGACAGTTCTATTCTGTCGTATGGTGCTGCTGTGAGTTCGAATCAAATCGCTGGCTCTTAAGCATGGGTGCAGAATCTGAGGTCCAGCAAGCCAGTTACAGAAAGTAACCTGGCAGAAGACTTGTAGGTAAATAACGGATTTGAACACAAGTCAGTCTGGACACAGAGCGATCACAGTCCCTCCATCCTTACCCCGTTTATCCAGCCTCGGCCTTGTCTAGGAAAACATGTTGCTAGTTTGTATTGGGAGGACAAATGGAAAAAGAGCTGGCACAAAATGCGCCTAGACATGCATCGTAATGACTGACCCTTCAGTTTACCACTTCGTCTAGATAATGTTTCTGAAATGTAAGTCTCCAGAAGTCCTCATCATCCTGAACTTGTCTTCCTCTTCCTTGCTCTGAGAATCATCAGGGGTTTTCCTTAGCATGTTACCATAACACAGTGCCGACTTTTGATTCTTCTGAAGACAAATACTTGTTTTTCGAGCGAATACAGGTGTGCACAAGCAGGAAGTCTCCCGGTGATAGCTACACCAGGAGGGGTTCACTGTTACTTCTGCTTAAGGTTGGGGGGTCCCTGGGACAAACTGCAGGGGCTTGAAGCCCTGCTCGGTCCCTTAAAATTGACCCGACCTTTTCTTTTTCCTGTTAGTGAAATTAGAAATAACCTTGTCTCATTGGGTTGTTGTTAAGATGATATGGGTTAAGAGTTGTGACACCCCCTTATCCAAGAGATATTCGATTAGTGAAATGTTATTGTTTAAAAGAGTTTAAAGTTTATTAATTTTTTAAAAATTGTGATTTAAGGTATGGTTTACAGAGCAGATCATGAATCTCACATTCCACAATTTACACACATTTTGCTTCAACTCATCCATTTGAATGCCCTCAGTGTCTCATCCCGTATCCCACTTCTTCCCTGGGTCTCCTGTTGCCATTCTTCCTTCTCTTCTAACCCTTTGTCCTTGGACAAATGCCGCCCTTCTGATTTTAAAGGGTTGATTAACACAGCGGTGAGCTCTCTTCCACACCTCATGGATGACTAAGGCCATCTTCTTAGGCCTCAGTCTCACCAATCTCCAGCTGAACAATAAGCCTGGTCTCTTTTATCAGTTTGTGTTCTGTTCCATAGTTTTCTCCCACCCTCTCCAGGACCTTTTGATGTGATCCATTTCAGAGCAGTTGTGGGTTGTAGCAAGGCACTATCTAATTCTTCTGGTCTTAGAGTGGGGCTGGTATCATTTTGATAACCTGGCTCACCGCATTGAATCTCTCTCTATGTGCATAGATGTGAGTTGAATAACCTTGATGACTCAGTGGTTAAAGGTTTCAAGAGTTGGCAATTCTAACCCACGAGCCTCTCTTTGGGAAAAGGATGAGGCTGTCGGCTTCTAGAAAGATGTATAGCCTTGACACACCTATGGGGCAGGCAGGCAGTTCTACTCTGTGCTCCTATCGGGTGACTGTGAGTCAGAATCCACTCAATGACCATGGATTTGGTTTGGGGGCATGAATGTTTAAAAAATGAGGTTCCTCTCAACCAGCTGACTTTCATCTATAACGTCCTGTGGCCATCTTCCCTAACCTCTAGCAGTCTGCACTGCTACCTGATGGCTGCCTAGCATGCCATGCTGTGAGGGCGGGGTGTTCTGTACAATCCATCCTGCTAGGCAGGCAGAGGGTGAGTTCTCACTGTGAACTTGTCGTGCCAGGTGGGGGACTCCAACCATCTCTTTATTTCCACTTTAACCTAGAAAACTTTCCCTGTCTTGCTTTAGAAATCCCATTTGAGTGCCATGGGCTTCTGGAGACGGGAGGCTAGGATTCCTTTATTGATGTTCTTCTCCCTGGTCTCAGGCTGACAGGATCTATTGGATTTGACCCTCCATCCTGCTTTCAGTAACTAGCAAATCTATAGGTCATGTTTGAAAACCCTACCATTGCCGCGCTACCCCCACCCCCACTCCCTGGGTGTATTAGATATGCAGACTCAAGGGACATACTTTAAGAGTGAGCTCTGGGAGGTAGCAGAATGATAGGGGTCAATACAGACGTGTGTAGGTAGATCTCTTAAAAAGGTGGTACAGGGTGTTTCCT